AAATGATAGTACTATCTACGATGTTCCGAGAACTAATGTTATAAATGATAGTACTATCTTCGAGGTTCCGAGAACTAATAAGTAGATATAAATTATAGTACTATCTACGAGGTTCTGAGAACTAATGAGTAGATAGTACTATCTACGAGATTCCGAGAACTAATGAGTATAGATATAAATGATAGTACTATCTACAAGGTTCCGAGAACTAATGATTTTAATGATAGTACTATCTACGAGGTTCCGAGAACTGATGAGTAGATATACATGATAGTACTATCTACGAGGTTCCGTGAACTAATGAGTATATATAAAGTATAGTACTATCTACGAAGTTCCGAGAACTAATGATATAAATTATAGTACTATATACGAGGTTCCGAGAACTAATGCGTAGATATAAATGATAGTCGATCATCGCGAGTTTGTTGTTCTATTTCTCCCCTGACACGAACCATGAGTAAATATAGAGGTTGATAGGACAGACTGCTTATTGTCATTATTGCCCTAGTAGCAGGAACACGATTCTTTGTTTGCCCAAGGTTAATCATGGTTCACGAGAGCGAAGGGAAACCTGTTTCCCTATCACAAGGGCATTGCATATTTATTATACTTGTAAACAAAATGTAGAACAACAGCACAAAATATGTCACGTCGTCAAACCGAGAACACGGATAGTGGCAACAAAGCTACAAGGCACACAAATGAGCATACTCAAAATATTGATCTTCAAATCACAAAAAAATAGCATATATCCCCATCAGATCAGGAAACTTATCCATATTATGTATCAACTTGCATCTTTGGAATAACTGTGTTGTAAGTTTGTCTGTCAGCAGTCGACATCTATCATGGAAGTCAAGGTATTATGAGCAAGCTCTTGAATATCGAATCAAATGGGACACGCAAACGCTTGAGGTAGCAGAAGCAGGGATATTACGATCAAGAAACGGAAAATGAAAGATAGGACGGTCGAAATCGTCATGGTGTACCTACAACTAAATAGATTACTGAACAAGCTCTGGGGGTATATACGATCGATGTGGTCAATTAATTTCCTGTTATTTAAAGAATAAATATATATAAATGTTAAAATGAAGGACTTTGATAGTCCTGATTAGCTCATAAGTTAATTCAGGCTCATATGAAATCAAAAGCATATAGACCAGAAGATGGGTGCAGCTTGTTCGCATATGAAATACCTACAGTTCGCTGAAAAACCAAGAAGTCAATTATTCTCATATTTTTTTCTCTCGGTATATTTCATTTTGGCCTTTGTTTCACTTTGCACATACTATGCATTCGAAGTAATTAACAGCGATACATTAACATCGCGATTCTTGGAAAAGAAAGCTCTTACATATGTACACGTATGAGGCATTTCTTTAGTTTGGTATGAGTATACCTCAACATTTTGAAATAGGAGCAACATATCGATTTTGGGCTTTTTAAAGTGTCTTGAGGCTGAACACAGACGAATTTCTCTATCTCTAGGGCTGCAAAGTAAACATTTCAAATGTAAGCACGTGAACATGTCCGTGTCTACTTCTCATATTTATCAAACCAGGCACCTTTGGTAAAAACGTTATCAACATAACGTAACCG